AGAGAGAGAGAGGAGAGAGAGAGAGAGAGAGAGAGAGAGAGAGAGAGAGAGAGAGAGAGAGAGATAGAGATAGATAGATAGATAGAGAGAGAGAGAGAGAGAGAGAGAGAGAGAGAGAGAGAGACAGAGACAGAAAATGAAAGGGAGAAGAAAGTTATCAACATGTTATTCCGCCCCGCGAGAAAGGATGTTTGCTGAAAGTAGTGAAACATGGCGCGTTCTCCGTAGACTTCACAATGTCAACACACTCGAGTTTTGGAAAAGATAATACATTGTAACTCCTCTTGCGTTCCGTGGCGACGTTGTAAATCAAGGATATATGGAGGGATTAGTGATATACCCAAATCCTCTTAGGATAGGGTGAGTCTGAGAGAGAATGGAAGATCACGTATCCTAAATGAGTAACGGGGGGGGGGGGGGGAGAGAGAGAGACAGACAGACAGACAGACAGACAGAGACAGACAGACAGACAGACAGAGACAGACAGACAGACAGACAGACAGACAGACAGACAGACAGAGATAGAGAGATAAATAGAGAGAGAGATAGAGAGATAGAGAGATAGATAGATAGATAGATAGATGGAGAGAGAGAGAGAGAGAGAGAGAGAGAGAGAGAGAGAGAGAGAGAGAGAGAGAGAGAGAGAGAGAGAGAGAGAGAGAGAGAGAGAGAGAGAGGGGGAGGGAGGGAGGGAGGGAGGGAGGAGGGAGGGAGGGAGGGAGAGAGAGGGAGAGAAGGAAAGAGACAGACAGACAGACAGAGACAGACAAAGTCAGAAAAGGAAAAAGAAAAAAAAGGCAAGAGATAGAAAGACACAAGACAGGCAGTCAGACAGACAGACAGACAGACAGACAGACAGACAGACAGACAGACAGACAGACAGACAGAGACACAGACAGACACGGAGAATATGGAATTTCGGCCAGGCATATTTCAAAACATTTTTTTCCATCATTCATTGTTTCATTGTTACTTGTGCATTAATATTCAAACGTTCATGATCCGACGTTCCCTATGATCGTTTAAATGAAAGGTGTAGCTTTGTAGTTGAAATGCACGTCGGTTTATTATGGCTGTTGGGTATGACTGCAGGCGCTTGTGCATGATTAGAAAGCGGCGTCCCTAATCGCGTGTTGAGACTGGATTCCGGATCGTGCAAATGCATGGCGCGCCTTGTTTTATTCATTTGTAATCATGAACGCGTTGAATATTATTAGGTTGACCCTACCTGTTTGCCGGTCTCGTACGCGGGGTTAACGTTGCGCTATTATTACTGTTTTGTTTGTTATTGGTATTGCTGTTATTATTTTCATTATTATTATTCTTGTCTTTGTTCTTGTTCGTGTTCTTGTTCTTATTGTTATTGTTAGTAGTATTTTTATTGTTATTAAATTATTGTTGTTATTAGTATTATTGGTATTATTATGTCATTACTATTATACTATTCTTGTTAGTGTGTTTTTTTTTGTACTTTTATTGTAATTATGTTATTGTTATTATTGATTTTATTATTATAACTATGATAGTAATAGTTTTGATGATAATGATGATAAAAATAAAGATAATAGTATTAATGATAACATTGATGATAATAATAAGAATGATAACATTAACAATAACAGAAATATTAATAGTATTAATAACAACAACAATAGGATGATAACATTAACAATAACATAAATATTAATAGTATTAACAACAACCACCACCACCACCACCACCAACAACAACAACAACAACAACAACAACAACAACAACAACAACAACAACAACAACAACAACAACAACAACAACAACAACAACAACAATGATAATAATGATGATAATGATGATAATGATGGTAATGATAATACTGTTATTAGTGCTCTTTATTTTGTTGTTATTGTTATTGTTATTTGTATTATTATTGTCGATGTTAATATTATTATCATCAATATTATAACTATTACTAAACTATTACCTCTTTTCCATTGTTTCCACTGCAATTGGTCTTTTGTGCTTGAGGCCACTTTCCATTTTAGTTAGTGTGGCGCATGATGCTATGTGCATGATGCAACGCCAACACGTGATTGAAATATAAGGGCACTGCTAAGTTGCCCCGAAGAGAGGGAGAAGCGGTCGCCTTCAGCAGCAGGTGCGGGCAACACTGGCCCCGAAGACACGGCACTGGGTCGGGAAGGGTGGGGGGGGGGGGGGTGGCGGTGGTTAAGGGTAGGCTTTCCTGGGTGGTCGGGGTTGGCGCTTGCAGAACAGGGCCGTTTTGTCCCCTGGGTTGGCGTCGAGGGTGGGAAGAGGGGGGGGGGTAGGGTGAGGGAAAGTCTCCAGGGGAAGGTCTCCAGGGGAAAGTCTCCAAGGTGAAGAAAGTCTCCAAGAGGGTAGAGTGAGTTTCAAGGGTGAACATGGATTCCAAGGGTGACGAAGGACCTCAAAAGGGCGAGGAAAGGGCAGCAAAAGTGGGAACGAGTGGGTAAGAAGGTTGATCTAGAGTGAGGGAGAGGGA